GCCTCTTACCCTTGATCAATCAGAATGATGGTGTTGGTATACAGATCCAACTGATATTCTTCATGATATCCTGACAGCCTAGATCTTTTATGACTGTCTTATAACTATTGGTGTAAGAGTTAATACAGACCTTGGAAAAACTTTAAATAAAAGTTCTTATCCTGTCCACTGTTTTTGATCCTCTATTCTAGTTGAAATGGAAAAATACACATTTGGGAAATCAATTGCTGTATACCATGTACTTGACGCTTTATGAACTTACTCCAGCAACAATATGGCATAGCAGCTGTGATCTGGACTACTACTCAATGAAGCCTGTGGCAATCTATAGTCATTAGCCAGGATCCATCCAGTTTCTGCAGGGGCCAGAATGATGAATTAAATGGAGATATGATGGGAACATCATTAAGATCTCTAAGGATGGCACTAATTTCCCTTACCTGGCTTGAAATATTGTTTTTTATTTACTATCTTGGCAGGGGGAGGACATTTTCAGAGGTTTCTACTTAGCCTTTCCCACTACAATAGCTCTTATAACACAGTACCACCAATGGTGTATGAGTGTTCCTATCTCTCCGCATCCACACCAACATTTGTTGTTTTGGGACTTTTTGATAAAAGCCATTTTCGTCAGCCTTTGAATCCCTTCCTTTACTGTCTTCCAAGGCAACTCGGGCATTTTCACTTCACTAAGTATTGACCATCACTTTCTTCAAGATTCTCAGAGCTGCTCTGGCAAATATTTTGACCAATCCTTTGCCAGGGTCAAATCTCATGTCTTAAGAAACTGTCTCCATGTCAATGGAATTCTGGGTATCCTTTTTTATATTTCAGCCCTCTTAATAAAGCATCCTCAAAACCCAGTCACTGTGTTACTCCCTGGACTCCTGGTATGTGAAAGTTAACTCCTGTAGCTCATACAGGATGTAATATCTTTTCTCTTTTATTAGACCTAGGGCTTCCCTAATGGATTATGCCCAGATTTAATTCCAATTATTGGCTTAACAGCCACGAAAGGAAGTTGGGTGGCTCCTGAAGTGAGAACCTGTTGCCTTAATAGAGAAAGGTCTCTAAAAGGTCTTCCAGTACTGCAAAAGTGCTGACTCTTAACAGGGAGGAGTGGACCATCTTTTCTGCCTCTGAGGGCCCAGGGAGGTCTACAAAGCCTCAATCCTTGATGGCACACATCCAGATGACCCCATTAAATGTTTTAGAGTTCCAGAATTTCCCCAAAAGGGCCCCCACTTTAGCCTCATAGACAGGCCTTGGCTGTATATTTAGTCATCTCTGGAGATTTACAAGTCTAACTCTTAAGTTCTGCATTCGATCCTCATCTATGCCTGCTCTTCCACTGCAGGAGATAAAGCCCTCTTTGTAAGCTTCCAAAAAAGTTCTCTAACTCTCATACTTACCCTTTAACTGTTGTTGACGACCCTCAGTTTTTCATCTCTCTGTAGAGCAGCAATACAATTTAGTAATAACTGGTAAACTACACTCTCTTTGTATGCAATGTTTTACCCACAGCCTTCAAATGCCTGAATCAGCAATGGGATTTCTCTCCACTGGGATATTTGTCCAGGTAACCACCAGTGAAATAGTCAGGATTTGGACCGTCACAGTGTGCCAGATACTATCTGTGCCCCATATACCACTTAAGATGAGTTGTTCCTTGCCAGCCAGGTGGTGAGTGATCCAGTCTCAGAACCGCCTCTTACTGCATGCATTCTTGTATTATTTATGGTATCAAGTGTGTCATTTCAGGCCTGACAAAGTTTCAGCCAGGCCTATGGGAAGCTCTGGTGAAAAGATTGCTTGTAGGAGTAATCCTGCATTTGGCAGATGTGTCCATACTGTAGCACCCCTGCTACATTTAGTCCTGGGCAGTGTGCCCTCAGCTGAAGCACACTTATGCTAAAATTTATTTTCCATTTATCTGAAATTCAAATTATCTGGAATTTCTATATTTTATTTGACAAATCTGGCAGGGTTGGAGGTTATAGGTGGGCACAACAGCATGGTTACTACATACTAAGGCTGATTAAGCTATTATCTTTGCCCGTGAAAGAGATCAACGGTGAGTCCCCAATGTGTCACCATTCTTGAAGGAAGCCGTTAAGCAATGTGGGGAAAAATTGACTACATTGATTCTCTTCAAAACTGGATGGGGCAATGATTCATCTTGACCACATCAACACAATTTCTGGATATGGGTTTGCCTTTTCTTTCCTGGAGGTCTTCAGCCAGCACCACTATTCAAGAGCATAGTGTTTTATCCACTGAGACAGGATTTTATATAAAATTGGATTGGACCCAAAGACCCACTTTCCACTAAAGGAGTGCAACATTGGGCCCATGACCTGGGATTCTATCACATACTGCAACACCCAGAAATTGCTGGCCAGATAGAGTGATGAAATGGTGTGTTGAAGACATAGCTGAAGTGCCAGCTTAGAGATGATACTCTGAGAGGATGGGGTGCCACCCACCTGGAAGCATTTTGCACCCTAAATCAATGACCATAAAGCAGTAGAATATACAGGTTTGGGAACCAAGAGAAGTAGAAGTAGAAGTTGTTTTATCATCCTGATTACTCACTTGGGGAATTTGTGCTTTTCATTCTCATAATTCTGGGTCCTGCAGGTTTAGAGGTCTTGGCCCCAGATTGTAAGTGATTTCACCAGGGGAAAACAAGAGCCCCATGAAATTTTGTCCATGGCTGCTACGCACCAGCCAAAAGAAAACAAGTCACCATCCTGATGGAGGTAATTCGCCCTGATCATCAGGAGGAGATCAAGCCACCACTATACAATTGGGGCAGGCAAGAATATGTTTGGCGTCCAGGTGACCCACTTAGGTATCCCTTGGAAATGACAGACAAGTCCACCAGCCATGGCCTGAGAAGGGCTGGGTGTCCAGAGGCTCAGACCCTTCAAGGATGAAGGTTTCAGTCAGTCCAGCAGGTAAGCTACCTATATCAGCAGAGATATAGCTGAGGATGAGAGGAAATCTAAGATGAGTAGTACAGGATGAAGATGGTATCAATTAAGGCCCCAAGGCAAGCTCCGGTGGCAGGGGCATAGTGTTTCTCAAATTTTCTTGTAAATCTTCCTCAGGAAAAGCAGCTTAACATAACCATGGGAGAATTACCCTAGAATTTATTTGTATGAAGCAAATGAGCCTAAGCAAGGTGAGAGCTGAACTACAGTAGATGCTGTGGTGTCCTGCCCTGCCAAGACCTCCCCGCACCACTGCCCCTAGGGAGCAGCTCTTGTTTTTCCAGCTGCTGAGATTGCTGGAAGCTGACAGCCCTCAAGTGAGCCCCTCTCAGATATATCCAAGTTCATGCTGACATCCAGTGATGGGGCCTAAGGGCCCAGCCCCCTTGCCCTGATTTGTGAGATTCTGGACCATCCTGACTCCAAAACTCTCATGTGTTCATCTGCAGCCCTTTCTGTGAGTGCCTGGCAGCCCAGTTTCTCCTCCACCCTACCTTGCTCCCTGAACTCCTCCCAAAGGCGCAGATCTTAAGAGCACTCTCCAACCAACTTCTTGTACTCTAATCTTGGTCTCAGAGACTGCTTCCCAGAAAAACCGACCTGTGACAGTATATTTTTTGCTTTTATTTTTGTTATTATTTCTTAGTTTGGAGGCATTTTTCAATATTTTCCTTTATAGTTTCTGGTGTTTTATGTCACACTTTTTCCCATCCCAGGAATATAAACATATTCACCCACATTGTCTTATAGTACCTTTATGGTTTCCTTTTAAAAAGTTCTTAAAGTTTTAATTCATCTGTATTTTGGATGTGAAAAGAGGTAGGAACTCGGATTCATGTATTGTTTTCAAATGCTTAACTGGTTCTCTCTGTATTATTTTAAAAATTCCTCTTTCCCCAGAACTTTTCTAAGGTGTAATGTGTTTTTATTTTAATTTCTAATTTTTCTTCCATTGTGTTTAGTAATCATACTGCTTAAATTATGAATTTTTCTGTAAGTGCAATGTTGGCTGCATCCCACGGGTTTTAATATGTAGTGTTTTCTTCATTCATTTTATTTTTTAGATATTATGCACCCAATTATAGTTTCAATTTCATTTTTAAAGAATTGTTTATGTAAACTTTTCAAAATCTACAAATGGTAGGAATTTTATGTATTTGTAGCTTTAGTATAGTTTAAGGGATCTGTTTTGCACTATTTGTTTCAAAATCCATTTAAACATGAGTGCTCACAAATTTGCATTTCTACTTAGCCCAGAAGCCAGACTGTCCTTGTTCCCCCCTACATCTTCCTAATATGAGTAAAAGTGAGGAACTAGGTTCCTTGTTCTAGAATTGTTACTTGTATTTTGCTGTGGGTTCCTTACATGAAAGTGAACATCATTCTAAGGACTTTATGGCAAAAATTTTGGCTGTTCAGATGGCATTTTTGTCTTCTCCTTGGTTTTTGTTATTTTTTCCTGAGTTCCTTTAGAGTTGGAAGTGTCATAAGATGCCAGGGCCAACACTTCCCAACACACCTTTAGAGACTCTTCTTTGAAAAGTGAATCAACCAAGGTTTCCAGCCTTGTTTCAAGCCAAGCCAGGGCATTAGAATTTTGGGGGGTCTGGTCCTACTCCACGATTGACTCCTTGTGTGATGAGACAAATCTCTCCTTTTTTTCTGTGCCTCGGCATCTCCATCTTCACAGTAGAGGGGGGAGTGTTCTGAGTCCAGTGGTCCCCCGCAACCTTCTAGCTATCAAGGTAGGGGCTGGAATGGTGGGTAAAGCAAAGGAACATGGAGGGAGCACAGGCATAGGAGCAAGTCAGGGAATCTGTAAAGGGGGCCAGTCTCCTCCCTTTGTTCCCTGCTAATGAGAGAAAGGTACATGGTCCATGCCTGGCAGGTCTGGAGGTCACAGACAGGAGAGCGGAACAGACAAAGGCCTGAGACATGGATTTAAGATTTAAATCCTGAACTGAGAACAAACGTGAATGGCAGAGAAACCAGCCACACTTTGAATGCTTTGCTGATATATTTATTCACATATTTCCCCTTTTCAGATGATGGTGACAAAAAGCAGATGGATCCCCCACCCTCCCTACCCCTCAATAAAATACAGACACAGATTTCATTCAGCATATACAAGCAATGGGGCATGTCCAAATTCATCTCACTGGGTTACCAGAGCCAGAAGAGGTTTGATCTTGGGGGCAGTCTGAGCACCTCGGGCCCAGGAATTGAGTAGGCCAATGCTGAAGAAAGGCTGCCATTCTGGGCCCCGCCACTGGAGTGTCAGCAGAGGCGATAGAATAGAATCATGGTGAACTGATCTGCCTAGCCCTGTCAGGTGGTCTAGAAGATGACAGTGAGCTCCTGGGTAGCTTCCAATGAGATCCACAGTCCCATAGAAATCTGTGCCTCAGGGATCCCATCTGCACAAAGGGGATAAGAATCCTGCCCTGAAGATGTCACAGGGCTATAATGAGGCTCCACATAGAAATAGTCTGTCAAAAGTGCTTTGCCAAAGGTAAAGTGCCATACAAATTTAAGGGAATTCAATTGATTGATTGTGACTGACAAAGTGCCCCGGGGATAAGAGTGGACTGGCTCATGGGTTCAGGGGCGAAGGAAGTGGTAGAGCTCCTATGCTGTGCCTTAGGTAGGCACCCATCAATGGTGAGTAATGCCCACTGCAAAGCAGAGTTTCCTTAGTTTCTTGGCCACAGGAAGTCACCAAGGCCTAGCACCTGGGTCAGGGCTGGGAAAGTCACTGGGGAAATTACAGAAAAAGTCACAGGGGTCAAGGAGGAGGAAGAAGGTAGCATATAAAGCAAGGGGTAATTACTATCATCACATACAAAAATAGATACCCATTGGATGCAGGGAATTGAGTTGGCAGTACGGATGAAAGATGGAGGCAGAGGGGGAGAGGGAGGTATCACAGCAGCAGAGGGAGATACTGTCCCAATAGGCTCACTTGCTAACCCCCATCCTCCTAAAGGGATAATGCCAGTGTCTGTCTATCTGCAGAGGAAGTGGGGGGGGGGCAGGGAGAGAAAACCAAGAATAATCTGACTCAAGGATGGGGGTCCCTCCCCCTGTTACACTGTTGCCCAGCACCTTAGGGAGGTGTCAGGAACAGGCAAGCAGTTGGTCTGTACACTTTGAGGCCGAGGCCAGAGTTGGGCCTGGAGCACAACAAAGGGCAATAACGGGTTTCTAGCAAAAGCCAGTGGTTGTCAGCACTTTTGGGAGACAGCAAACCTACTTGTACATGGGCACGGTTTTAGGGAGCCAATCACTGAAGAGTGTATGATTTTTAACACTGAGCATCCTGGATGCCCCTTGAAGAATAGAGAGGTGGGCATTTTACTTGGAATGGGCTGCCAAGGTGATTCAGTGAATGGGCCAGGTGGGGGAAAGCGCCAGCAAAGACAAAACCTCTGCAGGCTCCTATTTGAGGAGGGCAGAAAGAAAGACTCTAGCTGCTCCTGCTGCTGCTGCTTTCCCCCGACTCCCTTAGCAAGGGGCTTGGGACCTCCTGGGGAACTGGGGAGGCTGCCCCACAGGGTGCCAGCTGGCACCTACAAGTTAAGGCAAACAAGCCAGTAGAGCACATTGAAGAGGAAGAAGGTCACCGGGAAAAGAATTCGAGAGTAGTCATCCAGACGGTAGATGTGGATGCAGAGGCGGCCATCCTGCCAGGTGCTGCCCTCACAATCGGGGACCATGCAGAAATACTTCTTAAGACCCCTGCACCATGCACAGCTGGACAGCCTGGAGTAGAAGCTGTGGGGGCCCCCGGGGCTACCTGGGCTAGGGGACCGCTGGGCTGAGCAAGACGGGCGTTCCTCTCCATCACTTTCCTCAGAGGTGACAATCTCGCACACAAAAACTTCCTGATGCTGGCGGGCGTGGGCACGGGCACGCGCACGCGCACGAGTACGAGCATAGGCACAGCTATGGATACGAGGCTGAAATGGACAAGGGAAGAAGTGTGGAAAGTCAAGGGAAGATGAGTCAAGCTAAGTGCTGCCTCAGGATTTTTTGGAAACTCTGTCCTTGGCACATCATTTATTGGCCCCCCAGAACTCCCACCAACACATCAGGAAGTTGATTTGATTTCAACTCCCCCCACAACCCTGGGTAATCCCCCATCACTCAGCAAGGTGACCACCCATGTGCCAAAACCCTAGTGCCCTCACTGGCATGCCTTCACACTCCAAAGCCTTGCCACCACTCCCACACCCAGATCATACATGGCGGAGTCTTGGAGAAGCATGGGTTTTCGTCTGGTTGTAGGTCAGGAAGTTGAGCACAGCAAACTCCATCAGAGCGCAGAAGCAGAAGACAAAGCAGATGGCGATGTAGAAATCCAAGACCGTGATATAGGAGACACGTGGGAAATTCTTGCGAGAAAAGGTGCCCAGTGTGGTCATGGTGAGTACAGAAGTGATCCCTGCAAGAGCACAGGAGTGGAGGTGGGCTCAGCTCCTGACCTGTACATTACACTGCTCAAAGGACTCTATGAGAAGGCAACTCTTTGGCCTCGTTCAGCAAACTCACAGCCATGTGACTGTGCTTATGCCACCCGACCTCCTTACCTAAAGAGGTCCTGGCTGGAGCAGACTCCTTCTTGATCCAGAAGGAAACCCAGGAGAGCATTGTGGTTACGGAAGAAGGGACGTAGTTTTGAACGGCAACAAAGCCAAATCGCCTGCTCACATTGAAGAAAAATGTCATGACCATGAAGTCACCTGGAAGACATAAAGAACACTACTTCTTCACAGCACTGACGTGATGGTCTCCCTCAAGCAGGACATACACGCTAAGGGTCCCATTGTTCAGCTCATGGGATTCCCTACCACAGTGCTAGGACAGAGGCACATTGTTCTGATGTGATACATACAGGACCAGAAGCAGCCCAGAAAGGAGACTCACTGAGACCCACAGGCAGCTGAGAGCTAAGCCGAGGCCAGAATCTTAATAGCCTCTTTCTCTGTCCCACGCCCAATGTCTGTCTTTCCAGGGTGGCAGGAGAATCAGGTGAAAGTGAAAGATTCAGTGAACCCTCTAAATGTCAGGCCCACACAACTGATGTCCACATGGCTGTCTGAGGCCTCCATACCCATTGAGATGCCCTATACCTGCACTGCTGGCTGGTCCTCACAAGGTGCACGCTCAGGAAATGAGCCCAGGGAGGCCTATGCTGTGATGGGAAGCACAGGATGTCTTCGGCCTCCTTTCTACACACGCATATGATGGCAAAATGCCTTGGTTAGCATTGCTCCACTGCACTCACCTTCCCCCAAACTTCTGATGGATCCCTGCTCCACGTGAGCTATAGAATGAAATCTGTACCCTGTAATCTGATGCTAAAAGCCCACCATGACCTGGCTCCAATTAACATCTTATATATACACACCCCCTTTACCCTAGGATTCCCATCTGCTCTCAGATTCCCTAACTCTGGACTCCCTGTTCTTAATCTGTGGCACTTAATCCAAACTGAATGTTTCAGGAAAAGAGAAGAATTAGCTGAAAGTGAAAATTTCAGTCAGCCCTCCAGATGTCGTATCCGCACAATATACATCCACAAGGCAGACTGAGGTCTTCACGTTCACTTGGGCATTGTGCCCCTGATCTTGGCTCTCGCTAGACAGCAATGGATCCTACAGGACCTGAAAACAACCTACATCTCCAGTTGGCATCTTCTTTTGTAACCTTCATGCTTCCTTATGCTCTGACACACCCATCTCAAATGCTCTGCATGTTATCATGACTCCATGGCTTGTTTGGGCTTTTCTCTGAGCCCAGAACATCACTGGTCACTCTCAGCATCACACTGGGATTTGTAATTGCTCCAATCCTGGCTCCTCAATGAAACTAAGCTCCACATTTCCACTTTAGTGATGCTGTAGAATTCCTTGGCCTTGAATTGGATGGGCTTTTAAATCTCTTCAAGGCAGGGCTCATATGGACCCTGTGGCTTAGCCCCTGCCCATATAAACCCAGCATAGCCTGGAACCCAGCAGGTGCTCAGAAACTCTTGCTGCTGCTAGGCAACAGCTTTGTAAAGCAGACCAGATCACTGACCTGTCTGTGTGTCCTCCTATTTTGGAAAGTAGATCACCTGCCCGGCAGGTCTGGGTAGGCTAGAGCTGAATGAAAAGAGCAGCCTTTCCTACTCACCTTGACAGCACTGACACTCAGGGAGCAAGACTTCTCAGATTCTTCTGGAAAAAGGCAAGGAAGTGGCTTGGGTTCAGTGGGAAACCTGTGTCCAGAGTAGTAGCTTTGAGAGAGAACTCCTCCAGAGCTGCTGCAGGTACCACTCTCATACTTGCCTACTGGCCAGAATGTATTTATCAAAATTTCTCTTGCCCTGGTGTCTTGACTATAATTTAAGACACTTATGATTAGCTATCCCTCCACCCCTGCAAAACTGCTGAGTTTATAGATTCTTGTTGCTAGAAGATTCATTATTCTATTGCATTTTCTACTTTAATTTTATTTGTTCTGGCCAAGGAAGAACCTTCTCTGCTTGTCAAGGGATAGAAATTTGTCTTGAAGGCCAAGAGAAAGATGCTAGCACACACTTTCTTCTTCCTGAGTGAAGAAGCATGGGTAAGGAAAGAAAGATATCTAGGGCTGAGAAGCGAAAGCAAAAAAAGAAAAAATGCTACAGATACTTTCTGCCCTTACTCTTATCATCTTTTGCCAGACCATGGTCAGTTGTTGCACTGTCAGAGGGACACAATCCAAAAGACTATGTCCAGAGGACTGGGACTAGAGGATACATGGACCCAAAACTTTGAAGTACAAGGAGGAAAAGGAACCAGGGCCAGGGCCCTGCAGACTATAACAGAATATGATCCAGGGCTGCAATGATAATATTGGTCCTTTAATCTTGCCCTCATTGAAGAGTGACTGGACCTAATGTAAGCTGGATAGTTCTAAGAAAAAAGAAATAAGTCAAATGGATAGAACTTCCAGAAACTCCAATTTTAGATGAATAGGGAGAGTTTTATGATGGACAGAGCTGTCTAGAGAAGAAAGAAACCCCCTTGCAAGATAGTGAACTCTTGACCACCACTAAGAGGCCATCAGAGGTTCAGTAGCCATCAGTGAAAGATGATTCCCTCTCTGGGGGCAGGACTGGACTCTTAGAACCTCTTGAAGCAGAGATTCTGTGGTTTAAGGCCCAAGATGGTCCGAGTAGCCGGCTACCACTGCATCCTGAATCCTCAGGAGCTGAGTATGTAAGTCTGCTCCAGATGGACAGAACTGCCCCAGGGGCCGACTGGAAGAGTTTGAGACCAGTCCCAAAGATAACTCTGCCATTGGAGAAACCATGACTCAAGATCAATTAGTCTTCAGTCAAAGAAAAAGAAGACCTCTTTCTTTCTCCCCAAGAACTCTCTTCTCCCCGAAGCAGGTCTGGTGCTTACCTATTATCATTGCTTTGGTGATGATGCTGGCTCTGGGGCTTTGTAGTCACTAGGGCACCATTTTGAAACAATGCACAACCATCTACTAAACGGAACCACTAGTGACTTGAAAGCCCCTAGGCCTTGTCTCCTCTGCCACTTTTGATGATGGGTCCCCACCTATCTGGGGGAAACTGCAGTGCAGAAAGCCAAGAGGCAGGCCCATGGTTAGCTGGCAGAAGAGCAAGGATCCAAGTCAAAGGTAGTAAGACTGCTTCCCCAGAGCTCCCAAGAAAAAGGAAAGCATTTGTAAAGCAGCCCAACCCTCTGCCCCTGCCTAGTACTTTGCAAGCAAAGCTCTAGCCAGAGAATCATGAGCTGTACCCTTTCCCAGTGATCAATTCAACAACTGAAGCAAAAGCAGATTTTCTGCCTAGCCACATGGAAGCAAAGGAAGACTCCTCCCATGACAAATAGCTGGCTGGGTGACTGGCTCCATCCACAATCTGGAAACGATGAGGGAAGTGGTTCCACTGCCCTGAACTTGGTCAGTACATGTGAAGAGGGTCTCCAGGGCTGCTCTGGGAGCTACCCCAGGGAGGTCCCTTGGCTCCTCATTCAGATCACCTAGGAACACAAGCAAAGATGCTCACGTCTTATTGGGAGCTAAAGTTTAAGAGACCCAGGACCCTCCCTTTTCATCCTTGTTAGAGACAATGCCAGAGAACCAATAGTCATCAAAGCTATGTTGAATCCACCATGAAGCCTTTGAGAGGAATCTGTGCTTTTTAGAGCTGTCCCTTTAAGATAAATGTTGATGCAGCCAGTGGCCATTGTGGCTGCTATAACTTCCTCTAGACTATCCCAGCCTTTACGTAGCTGACATTAGAACTATAGCCTCCACCTCCCATTAGGATGGACCTTACCTCCCATTCAACTAGCTTGGACTGTTCTAGGTATGGAGAATTCATATGAGCTCCATTCCCCAAAGCCATCCAAATAGTTCAGTGTTGTAACAAAGACCTTGAAACTTAAGGGTCTACATGACAAAGCTAGCTGCACATTCTGATAGCAACAAAACTTTATCTACTTACCTAACCTCTCAGGGGACTTGGCAAAGCACTTACTTCTTTGCAGATGAGACTGAGACATAGTTACAAAGTCTCAGTTTCCTCTGCAAACAGTTGTAAATGCTTAGCATTTATAAGACAGGAGCCATGTTCTACAGTACTTCCATGGGATGACTGCATAGCATTTGTATGGATGGCCACCTCCAGTTATTCCTACCACCCTCCTGGGCCTCTGCCTAGCCCTGGCTCCTATGGCATACTTACCAGCTGGGGTTGAGATAATCTCAGTTTTGTTGCTCATTCCTTTAAAATCAAATTGGAAGAGCTTCCAGGAGTTCTTCTCATTGATTTCAAGCTGGAAATTTTCCCACTTGTAGAACAACTCACTCTCAGGATAGGAAACTGGAAAGCAATGTGGGGAGGAGGTTTACATGAGACTGGGAAGCCCACCTGAGGTCTCCACCAGCATGAAGTCAGCCTAAGAAATTCCTTGGGGTCCTGACTTCAGCCTCACCAGCTCTAGAACTGTGCTTCTCTTACTTCATTGCTGAAGTCCATTCAATAAGTGCATTTACTGAGCATTCCTCAGTATTAGGCCCTGGGTTGGAAATACAGAGGTGGGCATGGCATGAATCCTGCCCTCAAGTATTCACATTTTATTGAGTACAACAGTGAGTACACAACTGTGATTTTGGGAGTTGCTCTGAAAAACCTCTTCCCATTGAACAGTGTGGAAACAAAGTAGGGAAAGATCATTTGGGGACACATTCAGAAAAGACTTCATAAATCAGGTGATATTCCCATTAAGTCTTTAAAGTCAAGTAAATACTCTCCATATGGATGAGGCTGAATTGGTGGAGGCATCACAGAAAGGTGAAAGCTGAAATGCCACAAGTTCAGAAAGGCAGAAGCATGGAGCAGGGATCAGTTCATGAATGGCCTTGAGGGTCATTCTAAGGAATTTGGAATTAATCCAAGGGCATTAAGGAAGGATCTGAAACTAAGAAGTGACCTGGTCTAGATGATGCTTTGGCTAAGTCACTCTGGTCCTTCTGTGAGGACAGCATGTTGGCAAGCAGGCCACTGCAGTAATCCAGGCATAACAAAATGAAGGCAGGAGGTAAAGCTGTGACAGAATTCAGAGAAACAGACAACATCAATAGAGATTTGGGAAGGAACACCAACAGGATGTGTTGACTGATTAGATGTAGGAGGTGAGGGAGAGGGAAGCATCAAAGTTATTGGCTTGGACAACTGGGTGGGTGACGGTGCTCTTCAATGAGACATACAAGAACACAGAAGCAACACATTTGTTTTGGAGGTAGACGTTTTAGAGGAGACATATTCAGTTTCAAAGTGAAGATGTTGCAAAAGTCCAAATGGAAGATGACAAAGGCCTAAAGTAAGGTAGTGCTAGTGGAGATGGAAAGGGGCAGGCAGACTTCTGATACACTTAAGAGGCAAGTGACTGATTTGAGGTGGCGGAAGGGAAATGCAGGAACCCAACATGAGGCCAGGGTTGAGCAACACAGTATCGTCAGCAAGAAAGGAGATGAGGATGGAGGATGGAATCCCTGCATGACCTTGGAAGCATCTTAGGAGAAAAGCAGAGGCAGAAAAATGTAAAGGGCAAAGATGAGAAAAAGAAGGGGCCCAGCATGCCTCTGGGGCCCCAGAAACCTAAGAAGGTACTCACAGCTAGAGAAAGACAGAGGGCAAGAGTGAGAGTCCATTGGAAATTTGAGCATGTGGAGTGAGCATCCAGCATCAATGGTCATCCTGGAAGGGAGAAAGGAGCCTCATTTAGGCTGGCCCCAAGCACTTACACATCCACCCAACTTTGGTCTAGGGACCGTCACCAATGAGTGGCAACAATAGAATTTAAGACAAAAAGCTCAAAGGAGAGACAAAAAGGGAGGAAAAACAGCTTGGAAACATCTGGCTACTCTGGGCTCTATCACCAGAGAAGCGCACGGACCAACTTAAGATTGGCTTTTGTTTCCTGCCCAGCCCAGCTTCCAGGACCTGCCAGTACTTTCCCACTCTCCACCACCTGCTTGCCCCACGCCACCACTAACACACGACCTTCCCCTGCCAGGCATTTAAGTATCCAGCCTGGTTTTAGGTACCTTTCCAACTGCTGTGTTGCCACCCTGCCTGGACAATTCCACCACCATGGACGTGTCTTTATATCCAGTGCCCACTTGGGATGGAACTGTCCAGGAAGTGCAGTCATACTGGTACATCCTACTTGAGGGAGCTCTGGACTGGGAGCCAAGTAACACTGGGTACCAGTCACAGCTCTGCCACAAACTTGGTTTGTAGCTTTAAGCAATATATATATATATATATTTTTTAATTTTGAAGCTTCAGTATCTGTATCTGCACATGAGGGACTTGGGCTCATGGTCTAGGAAAGCTGGACAGGCCCTTAGAAGTATCATTCAGGATGATATCTCTGCCCATGAGCCTTTGGCTAAAATTCCCAGAAGAGGAGGGAGAGTCCCAGGAGGTGAGACACTAGTGGCTTGACATACCTAATCGTATATAGCACCTTGCCATCCTTGTGGATGCGGATCATCTGGTTGGGCATGGTGATCACATGCACTTGGGTCCTCTTAGAATTCTTAAAAAAGGTGTCTGGGATCCACACCTGGCTCACCACATTGCCATTCAGAACAAGTGTCTCAAAGGTATCATTGTAACGGAGGCGTTCATCATACCAGGTCTGATAGAAGATGATGTCGATGGTGTACTCCTGGTGGAAAGGATAGAAAAGCACACAGTTGGGGATGAGCAAACAAACTTGCATCTTTACTTGTCATCCTTTTTGTTAAATAGGGGACTAGATATAATTTGTAAATGCTGCCCACCAAGCTGCCCTATGTCCAGAGCTCGCATTGAGACCCATCCTTCTACCAGTGGGCAAAGGCCCTGTGCCATTCCGTGATGGGCCTATCAAGCAGATAGACCCTTTGGAATCTACTTAGGTTTGCACAGAGGAAAACACCATGAGTTTGGCTGTAGGAATTTTCTATTTCCAGGCATTCCCAAAAGAAACTAACATTCCCAAATAGAAAACAATCTAGGAGGATGCATTTAGTCTAGAAACACGGCAATGGTGGCTTAATTCCATGGGCTGGGCTCATCACTTCATTGTTCCCACGTAGGGCTACCGTGCTACTCCAGCTGGGTCAACACCTTCTCAGCCTCTACATTTCCATAGTAAATCAAACATACCAGCTCAAAATCATTTAAAAAATCTATAAGCACACACGCCTTTGACTGTATACAGTGGTTTCCCCTTTCAGCTTTTATTGGGGAGCACAAATGTTAATTAACTTCAATCGTTCATTCTCCAGAATTACATTAAAAATGAAGTGTTTTCAGTCACAAGAGAAATGTCTATTTAGTTTAATGTTTTTTAAAAAAGGAGAATCATTTTTGGCTTTGTTTTATTTTTCCTTTGAAACAAGTGCCTATAACCTCTTAATGTATATGTGCATAGATATACCCATGATTACTTGGTCTCCAAATATTGTGTATTCCATAAACTATCTGTTAAACATCAAGAAGGATATTTAATAGGAAGAAGCTAGAAATTTGCACCACTGGTAATAAAGGGGGAAAAAAACTAGACTGCAATAGAACTGCAAGCAGCTTGAACAGCAAGTACCAGAACTAGGCCAAGACAGAACTGTGAGGGTTAGCCCAACCTCCCTTATTTTAGAGGTATGGAAACTGAGGCTCAAAGAGAAAGGGGACTGCCCAAAAGTCACACAAATAGTCAATGGCAGCATGCTGGCTCTGCTGTCCAGCATTACCATGGCCTTGCTCTGGGATGGCCTTCACTTGCACCAACAATCCCTTTGGGTACCAAGGTCCAATTTTCTCTGCAGAACCCCTAGGCTAGGTCTTTACACCTGAGTTATCCTGCACCAAGCAATGAGTACCATCCAGAAACCTACAACCCTGGAAGGTAGTAGAGCCCTCAGGGAAGAGATCAAGAAAATCCCTGCTTGCCTTAGCTGCCCAGGACAAAAGGTGGTGGAAGCAGCTGCCAAATTCCTAGCAGCCAGCCAGGGAAGGGAAGACTGAGAACGTGTCCTGGAGTAGGCCAGAGAAGCTGACAGAAAAGAGCTGGCACAGCCTGGCTACTACTCATATGGAAGCCTCTGACCCCACCCTGCCCCACCCCATCTGCCTTCATGAATGGCCTTCAAAGTGTACCTATAGTCCCAAGTGGCTGGCAGCTCCAACTTGGCCAGCAGAGCATCCTTCATTCCCAGGCCACATAAACTGCTTGGTAGCCAGTAGGACACCTTCCCCTCCACACCCATGCTGTGCTTGTACTCTATGTTATAAAGTGTTTCAAATGCACATTTAATTTCTATTTGACAAGATACCAATTGTAAGTTTATCACACATCAACAGAAAACTAACAGTTCAATTTTTCCCCAGTTTGACAAAGGAGCTTGGCATGTACATCTCTTTTAGTTCAGCCGAAACTCTAAAAATTCAGTGTTTAGGAATGAGCTTAATTAGAATTTCCTATGATAATTATCACAGCTAGAAAGTGTTAGCAACTGTTGATGCTGCAATGGGTGGTCATTCCCAGACTGTTCATTGCCTTTTAAGCTCAGACTGAGTGTTCCAAAGTGTAGCAAGGTGATAAGTAGAGATGTTTGATTAAAATCCACATGCCATGAGCTCAGGTTTCCCTCCCTGAGGACAAGGCCTGCACTCTATACAACATCCGACTAACTGAAGGGCACGGAAATTCCCAACTACGTGACCGATGCTGGGACACACAACTTTGCTAAAGGCTCAGTTGCCTCAAACATAAAACAGGGATTCGAATGGCAGCCACCAAGGCTGTCACAGGGATCCAAGGAGACAAGTGTGGTCTAAAGTCCTGGGGCCCCTTCTCATCAAGCGCCAGAGAATAGGGACCTCCCACAGCTTTCAAGAATTATTCGGAATCACACAGAAGCTGAGACATCTCAGGGGAATTCAATACTACATGTGAGGGTTTGGGATTTTCAAAAGGCACTTGGCCCAGGCTAAAGCACCACCTTACTGGCTAAAAAAGAATCAAGTTGTTGGCTCCTTTGTGAACCAGTTCTGTATTCCATGTAGGTTTGGTGACTGCTGGGTTACTAGACTGTATCCTTCAGGCCTGTCAGGGGAGGACAGTGCTGGCAGTGTGAATAAGTGTGGAGCAAGGAAAGACAGGCATTCAGCTAGCAGGAGTGGGGTTCCTGCTCCGCTACCACAAGAGCTCTTGCAAATGATAGAGATTGGTTTCCCAATATTATATCTTACACAAATAGCAAGGAGATTGTAGTCACAAATTTTCTACCAGTCTTCAGTTTTACAGCATGCTCTGTCTCATTCAGGAAACAACAAAACCACTTAGGGCCATTTGCTCAATTTGTAAATGTGTGTGTTCTCCCCACTCAACCTAAGGAAATTTAGCCACCACCAATTGGGTGGGGGGTGAAAGGTTAGGGAGGAAGGAGCAAACCAGCTTGCTGGAATTTAGATTTGCTACTTCCCAACCAGGCTGGCAGTGTCTTCAAGTCCACCCAAAGGAGTAAAAAAAAAAAATAGATGTACAAGGTTCTAGGAACCATCAGGTCATTGTGGATTGAGCCCTACATTTAGCGGTGGGCATACTAAAGAGGAGGGGCGGAGACTGCTGCAGGAGGCTCTCTGCCCAACTAGAAAACAGTCCTGAGCCACCTTCCCCACCCCACACCAATAACCTGAAAGATCCATTTCCTCTTAAGAGTAAACAATGGCCACAATGGTGGGACCACAAGACCCCAACCTCTGCCTCTTGTGAAGAACCTAATATTTCTTATTTATAAATAATTTTAACAAAACTGATTGCTAAATTCACACTTTTTTTGAAAGAGTAAATTACAAGGCAAAAAGGAGACTACAATTCTTGTTTCGGTAAGCACATTGATAGCAGCACAAAAGCAAATCTGACATCAAGGAAAGAGGCAAAATAGCACCCCAGTTTTAAAATGTAGACAGAAACTCAAAATGATCTGTCTGCTCTCAGGCTTCTGCCCTCCTTGTTAGTTCCTAGCATGCCATTCTAGGAGCTGCAGGCCTTTGCCTGCTCTAACTGGAGAACATCATGGCCATGTGTGAGAGGCAGACTCAGAGACAGCCCCAGTGATCTTCACTTACTAGTGTTTGTGCCCTTCTGTGTTCCCTTCCACTTGACTGTGGGCTGTACTTGCTTCTAATGAAGGGAATACCACAGAATCAGTGGGATGTCACTCTCAAAATTAGATTGTAAAAAGTGTGTGGCTTCCATCTTGAGTACCTTCTCACACACTCTTGCTCATTCTGAGGGAAGCCAACTGCCATAGTGTGAGTTACTCTGTGGAGAGGTGCACATGACAAGGACTGAAGGAGATCTTCAGATCAAAGCCAGAGAGGAGACAAATCTTGCCAATCATGTGACTGATCTTAGAAGTAGATCCTCCCTCAGTTGAGCCTTCAGATGAAACTCCATCCCCAACTAACACTTTGATTACTGCCTTGTGAAAGATCTCAAAAGAGAATCCAGCTAAGCCATGTCTGGATTCCTGAGCCATACAAGCTGTGAGATAATAATTTCTTATTTTAAGACACTACGTTTTATGGGTAATTTCTTACATAGCAATGCATAGTACACTAAGCCTCAAGAACTGGGTAGCCCAACAAAGCATCAAAGGAGAAACCACACTCTTCCACTTAGACTATATAAACACTTTGGTCTTCCACGAAGGTTTACTTACCTTTGAGTGTCTATTTGCAAGGTCCATCTCAGAGCCAAGGCCCTAAACTCTCCCAATCACATGGTGCTTGTTAAGTACCAAGGGGATGCTAAAACTGTGTCTGTCCTGGGCCAAGACAAGTCTATGGCTGTGATGGACCTGGCTGACACAATCGTCCTCATTGTCAGGCTCTGCAGATGCGAGTAACATTTGCAGAGCATCTTTCATCATTTATTTGCTCAGCTAACATAGAGTCCCTGACATCAAGGAGCCCATAGTGGGGAGAGCAAGGCAAACATGGAGCAGATAATTACAATGAAATGAGGTAGGGAAGATCAAGAAAATGACTGTGATATAAACTGTAAAGATGTGAGTGCCAAAGAGAGAAATGTGGCGTGAAAAATAAGGGAGCAATTAACAGTTGTGGAGATTGAGGAAGATGCCATGAATGAGACATCATCTGAGCCATACTCTGAAGGAGAATGCAGCTGACAAGTAGCAAAGTGGAGCCTGAATGCTCAGAGGTACAAGGTGGTCTGGGAACACCCATACCCCAGTGTAAGCCAGAACACACATTCTCTAAAGGGGTGAAAAGGAATACAATCATGGAGGGCCCTGAGTACTAGAGTGTGGGGTTGAATTGCATGCAGTAGCGGGGGTGGGGGCCAGTGCAGGGGCAGGACTATGGGAGACACGTTACTTGCAGGCAGCTTAGTAGGTAGATTAGGATAGGCAGAGACCTTTGCATATTCTGAGTGAGAGATGGTGAAGGCTAACTAGGGGACAGCACTGACATTAGGATAATACCAGTAGAAAAGCAGAGAAGAAACTAGGGCAAAATAGAGAAACAGTCTTAGAGCAAGAGCTGGTAACTACAGACTTAAGTCTGTACGAATAATCATCAGAAGAAAAGAGCCATTTCATTGTGGTGTTTCAAGTTGCTTTATTATTTTTATTTTGAATGAAAGACTGGAAGATATAGTCACAATTCTGAAGATCCTCTTCAGGCAGCAAGGGACCTACCTTTTCCAGCCTCGTCCTCAAGCAAGTCAGTGATAGTTAAAATTTATCCCTCCCTCCAAAAAGCAAAAAAAGACCCAACAAAACTCTTGGAGTCATTACTGAAACACAGAGCAGAAAGCACATGTGGAAGGCCCCAAAGCTTAGTACTCACCATGTCCAGGATGGACAGAGGGCCAAGGCTGTTGACAGAGAACTCAACAGTGACCACAGTGGGTTTCTCTGTAAGGGAAGCAGAAGTAGCGGAGGGTAAGTGTCAAACAGGGGCATGGGCAGGGGAGGGACTAGTCAGAGGAGAGAAGAGGGAAAACAGGTAAGGGTTGGACTGCACAGCTGCAGTATCCAGGCCTACCTCTTTATTTGTTCCTTCATGGTAAGACCCAGATAATACACCATTAAGAGTTGGACACACACCTTGAAGATCAACCATCTAATCCTGTCATCTCATTTTATAGTTGGAGGGGAAAGTCTTGACAAGGTCAATGGCATTGCTGAGACTAGAGTTAATATCTCTCGCCTGACTGGCCAGCAGCACACAGAAGCTCCTGTCCACCTGCACAGCACCCTCAACTATGCCCCAGGCCCATTCTCCACACCTAAGCCCTCAACCCCCACAACCATCCAGGAGGGCTACTCACCCCCAATGCCAGGGCGCAGTTTATGGTCATAGTTACTCAGGATAGTGTTCAGGATGCGAGAAGCTTCTGGCAGTTTGCCAACTTGGCGCCCAGTCTCAGGCACAGTGGGCCCAGTCGTAGGCACAGTGGGCCCAGTCTCAGGCGCAATGAGCCCAGTCTCAGGCACAGTGGGCCCAGTCATAGGCGCAGTGGGCCCAGTCTCGGGTGTAATGAGCCCAGTCTCAGGTACAGTAGGCCCAGTCACAGACACGGTGGGCCAAGTTGCAGGAGCAGTGAGCCCAGTCTCAGGCGGAGTGGGCCCAGTCACAGGCACAGTGGGCTTTGTTTCTTCAGCAAGGAGCTTCCTTCCGAGAGGCTGGGGCTCAGGGCCATAGACAACATCCTCACGGGCAGGGGCTTTATTCTTGAATGCAATCGTAGGTCCCTCGACCCTAGAACACACAAAGGAAAATTGAAGCTCTGCACTCCACTCTGCAGGGGCCTCAGCTGGTGCCTCTTGGGACAGAAGCAAATCAGAAGAAGTTTGCAACAAAAAGCTTAATAGTGACTGGTAATAGCAAATTATGAGACAGTAACAGATTATACTCGTTAATTTCTTTTAAATCTTGGTGCTTTGTGGGGACTTCCTATGCTATCCCTCTTTTATGATGACTCTTTATTTAAACAGAATCAACAATAAAACTGAGACCTAGATTTTAAAAGGATTTTCACTGTAAAATGAAGTAAGAGGGCATTTGTGAGCTCTGGCCCATTAGCCCCTGTTACTGGCCTTTGCCTTACCACCTGCGAATAATGGGCAGGCCCAGATCCAGGGCTGCTGGGCAATGTTTGCAAAAGCCAGTGCGGCTGCTTCCAGAAAGGACCAGAAAATTGAAGGAACATTTTGTAGTTTTGTTGGTTTTGTAATACTCGTTGCATTAGGCATAGGGGATGCAGGGAAAGAGGCTAAAGAACAGCTCTTTGTGGCTATCTAAGCTCTGAGTAGTCCACCCTGAGAGCCACGGCCATGCACCACAGCCAAGAAGAATGATAAAATAATAACAGTAATTAAATTAAGCAAAAATTTTAAGAGTCATCTGCTAGTGTATGAAACTCACCTATGGTGTTAGAAGTCAGGATACTGCTTGCTACCTTGGCTGGGGGGGCAGTGACAAAGGCAGCTTCTGAAGTTCTGGTCCTTGATTTGGCTTTCTTTATACCACCATGATCATTTTCTGACAACTCATCAGCTGTACACTTAGGATTTGAGCACTTTTCTGTATATATGTTCTCATTCAATAAAAAGTGTTTTATAAAATATATACCAAATTTTAATAATCCACTCATGGATTGACGGGCACTTGGGTTGTTTCCACATCCTTGCAATAGTGAATTGTGCTGCTATAAACATTCGGGTGCAGAATAAAAATGCCCCATCTGCTAATATCTGGATCTTATTGGATCCTGATTTTAAAAAGCAAACTATTAACAATCCCCTCTTTATTCCTACTTCCCCACTACCCTTCCCAGACTTCAGTAACCAACATGGAACAAAAATACAGCTAAATAAAAAGAATAAGACCTAGTATTCAGTAGCACAATAGGGTGACTATAGTTAACAGTAATTTATTGTATATTCCAAAATATCAAAAGAGTGGAATTGGAATGTTCTTAACACAAAGAAATGATAAATGCTTGAGGTGAAGGGTACCCCAATTACCCTTATTTGATCATTATACATTGTATGCTTATATCAAAACATAACATGTGCCCCTTAAATATGTACAACTATTATGTAACCATAATAATTAAAAATAAGAAAATAAAAAAAGACTAGCATCACAATGGCAAAATATGACTCCATCTAAAATCTATAACCAATTAAAGATGTAAACACTTGGCACTGCTAGTCGACATTTTATGGGGGTCCTGAAGAGCACAATAAAGCAAAAATGAATTAATTAAATAAATAAATATCATACAGATTGGCAAAAAAGTGCAAACTATTAAATAAAACAGACAAAAACTATTTATAACACAAATAGGAAAGATTTGAACGCTGGATAGTTGAGGTATGAATAAATTATTCTTAAATTTTTGTCATAATAATGGTATTTTCTTATGCTTTTGAAGTTTTTAATGACTAGAAATACATACTGAAATAATTACATACAAAATGAGATGACGTCTGAGACATGCTTCAAGACCATCTAAGTGGGAAATGGAGGGTGGGTGGGTTACAAAGAAAATAAGAGTAACCATGAGTTCATAAATAATGAGGCTGGCGATGGGTACGTGGAGGTTCAGTGTACTATTTCCTTTACTTTTATTATATATATCTTTGAAAAAATTTATAACTAAAAGCTTTTTAAAAAGACATCAGCCCAAATAAATTTGTGATGTTGGAAGGCAAGAGAGTGGTTTCCTTAGGGAAGGCATGTGTAGTGGGAGGGGCATCTGGTGAGGCGTGTGTGCACGTGCGCGTGTGCTTGTGCGGGTGTTGGGGGGGCTGGTGATGCTCTATTTCCCAGTCTAGGTGCTGGTTACGGTGGGCGTGTTTACTTTGCGAAAATTCACTGAGCTATTAACTCATGATTTCTGTGCTTTTACATTTGTATGTTACACTTCCAAAATGATTTTTTTAAAAAAGCTATCAGGCAATTCACTTCCAAAAATAAGGGGCAAACAGGGCAGGAGACGTGGGCAAGGTCCCTGGACTGCAGATCAGGGGCTGCCAACTTGGGCAGTAAAATACATTTTTCTGCAGTATTTCAAGCTCTTTGAATTGCTTAACTGGCATACAGATGCGCTAAGTCTATGCCATTTCTCATGCCTGAAGTGGCTAATTACCATTGTGGGCTAGGGAAGAACTGGGCTTTGGAAAAGCAGTTTCCACTTTCAAATGTCACATCCAGAAGATGTCCTCTTTCCCTGAGGCTTTTCATGTCCTCTGGACACCTGGAGGTTAATCTCCCAGCCCTCTGAAGAGAAAGCGGCCAGTGACTATGGGAGTGAGAAGGAAAATGGAGGCCTGAGACCCTGCAAAACAAGTGACGTGGCTGAGAACATAGCACAATCCAAACTGGCATCCAGTAGGAAGCTGGGCACTGCCAGCCAGGACCACCCAAAAGCCTGCAGCAGCCCCCACCAGACGTCTGAAACTCTTCAACAACGAGAATTCCCCTCCCCCCAGGTTTAAAACCACAGAGGCAAATCAACCTGAAAGTACTGGGACCACCAAAGCCCTCCGGCCCCTGGACTAGGTCTGCAATGAAAATGATATGGGAGGGTCCTGAGGTGGCTTTAATCCTAAAATTAGCTTTTGCCAGTTAAACAAACAAACAAACAAAAAACCTCATCCTGGGATCCTTGGGGTTAAGGAGCTGCTGACAATGCCAGCCATTAAGCTCACTTTCAGGGATACAAAGAAGAAAACTTGAAAAACACTCATACATTGGATTAGCAGGATTTTCCACAGGGGCTTTTCAGGCACCCACATCCCTCCAGCCCTCAGGTCCAGGACTGAACTGAATCTCTGCAGTACCCCTCCCCTCAGCTGGCTGGTGTGGGGGGAGGAGGAGGAAACACGAGAAGAGGTGCTGGATTTTTCCCCAAATTGGCTCTCTTTTTCACTGTGTAGAAAGAGAAACTGAGGCCAAGATAGAAGAAGGGCCATGCCCAAAGTCACTCAACTGATTTGAGGCTGAGCCTGGACCAGAGAGAGGTCTTTTGGTTCAATACGGCTCAGCACACCCCACTGTCACCTCCCCAGCTCCCTCCTGACATCACAGCTTGCTGTGTTGACAGTGTCTGAACATCAGTTACTGCAGCCCTCCCTCCTGGCTGGAAGGGTAGTTTCCATGTCCACGGTCCCTCTACCCTGCTGTTTTCCTCTCTGATCCCCTCCTTCCTTCTGCTCCCCCCACCAGCCCTAGCCAGTAACCATGTCAGCCTTCTCGAAGACTTCAAATCCTATCTAGAGGGATGTGGATGACTGGAAATTCTTAGCACGCATTCACATTTACCAAGCCCCTGCTGAGGCCAGCCCCACCCTAGGGCACCAGTGCGCCATCAGGCAGCCACACAGCCCCTCCCCTCAGGAGCTAACGCAATCTGGGGTGGGGGGAGAAGCCATCCCCCCCTCTTTACAAAACAGATAAGCAAGACACAAAGCCCAGTGCCATGGAAGCTTCGAGAGAGCGTGACAGATCAGGAAGCTTAGGAACTTGTGACAGTTCACATTCAGCAGGAACCATCTGAAAAAAATGAAGCAGTCTTCTTCCATCCTAAAAAGCCAGAAATCCAAGGGACAACCTTTCTAGCAAAGTCCCAAGACTAGCAGAGGGTGTGAGGGAAGCTGGCTGCCCAAGGGAAACCTGAAAAGGGAAGAGGGGATTGAAATCTACAACCCAAACCCAAACCCAAACCGCAGACCTCAGAGAATAACATTCATGACCTCTGGCTCCAGGCAGCCCAAGCCCCAGCAGGGTGTCCAGGAATGAGGAAGGAAGGGGGGAGGCTGGCGGGAGCGGGGACAGCTGGGACTAGAACCCTTAGACTAAACCAAAGGTCGTGCCTGGGACTGGCACTAAGAGGAGCGGCGTCACGGGAAGCAAGTAAAGTCAGAGTTGCCTGGCACAGTGCCTGCTACTCAGTAGTCACTCTGAAAAAAATGTAAGCAAGAGAGAACAGACTAGGCAACACTCAAACGTTTTCTGCGCAGTTAAGCACCCCCCGCCCGCGCGCCCCGTTCTTAAAGTCTCCCGGTCCCCAGCAGCGCGAGGCTGCCCCTGGCCTCTCCCCTCTTCCAGCGCAAGACTCCCTAAAGGAGGGGGTGCTCGCCCGACCGCCGCAGTGCTTCGGAGAGCGGGAGTCTGGGGTGCGAGTGGCCCACGGGCAGGCATCCCGCCTTCCTTTGGGAACTCCCGTCCTAGAGGCCCGGGGCGCCCATCCTAGAGGGAACGGGACGGAGGCTGGCTGCGCGTCGAGGAGACGCGGAACCCGGCTAGCCCGCACAAGGGCCCGGGGCCAGGCGGGCGCGGTGCTCGAGGAACGCGGGGCAGCCGGGGGTCCTGGGAGCCCGCTCCGCTCCCGGGCAGAGGGAGCTGGGCGCAGAGGGCTCCTGGGTCCCGGGATGGAGACTCACCTCGACTGGAGGGTCAAGAATATGCTCAGGAAGAGCAGGAGAACTTTGGGCAACATTTTCGGCAAAGACCGGCGCGACCACCTGTGTGGAGGCCGCGGCGCACAGTCTCGCCACTCAGCGCGCGCACAGGGTTTTATTGGGCGCAACTTTCACTCCTCCCACTCGCCCCGCCCCGCGCTCCCCACCTCGGGCCCGCCCCCAAGCCCCGATGGAAATCTCCGACGACGTGACGGCGCTGCGGCAGCAACAGGGGGAGGAGTAGGGAGCCCTGTCGCTAAGGTCCCCCGCCCTCTACTGCCACCACTGCGGCGCTGCCAGACAGCCAGGGGGCCTAGGGAGGGAGGAGGAGGCGAGCGGGCGGCGCGCGGGCCCGGGAGCGGGGAACTGGCCGCCGGAGGCTGTGATTGGGAGGGCTGCTGCAGGCTGAGCCCTGCAGGGACAAGACGCGGGGCTGGGAGGGCTTTTGCCTCCCCTGGGACCCTCTCCAGCCCGCCGGCGCGCCACGTCTCCAACCGTGCTCTCCAACTCTGGCTTCCTCCCCACCACTTGTTGCACGCCGTCACTACCCCACTTCTCCTGGCCTCCCCTAGCTGACTCTCTGATTTTCTGTGTCGTCACGCCATATCGTCCAGGCCTCGGAAGCATATCTCTTGGCATGCGAAGGAAGCTGGGTAACTCAGCACCTTCCTTGGCACACGGAAGAAGAGAGGCTTGGGGGTCTCCCCAGAAAGCTCTGAGCTACTCCACAAGTCAGTTTCCCTGGAATTTGGGGGCTGGGGAGGACCCCGCAACAGAGGTGCAGGCAGAAGCATTCACTGGAAGACTTCCTCTGAACCCCACAGAGGCACTGTCTGTGGGGCTGGGTGTGAGAGGAACCACCTGGAGTGGAGGGGGCCTTGGAAGCCGCCTAAGACTGAGTGACCAGATCTTTCTGGAGACTTGGCTCCAGGTGATAGCAGAAATTAGAAGGCACGGAGGGGCGAGGGGAGGGCATGTCAAGAGTCTCAGACATACCTGGACTTCATATCCCCTGCCTAAACCCTCCAGATTCACTTCAAAGGGGAAGGAATTGCAAAGGTTTGCATAACAAGCTGATACCAAACACTACCGTGTCCTCACCTGTTGCTCTAGAAAGGCCAGGTGCATCCCAGCTTGCATGCCGGCTCCTTGGAGAGGCTTTGCTCTGCCACACTAATCTAATACACCCTCTCCACCACCCCATCCCCCAGCCACAGCATTCTGCTTTGTCATTTTCACAACATTGTTCACAAACAGATGATTTTCTTCAGCATTTCTTTGTGACCTTGTTAACAATGGGTCTTCCCCATTGATATAAGCTCGGTGACACACACACATGCCTCAAATGCACACACAAAAAATGTGTCCGTCTGGTATCTCTGAAACTCAGAAGACATCTGGACATAGTCATACAGTAGGCACTCAACAAATATTTGTTACTGGCCTGTGTGCAGCTGTGTGTGCTAGTACCACTGAGCCCACTGGAACCTGGACTTCCTTCAGGCTCTGGTGCAAGAAAGAAGAAGAGACTGCAGGACACATTGAGACCTCCTGTGTGTATGTTTCCTGGCCCTGTCACGGGACCAGCTTCATGGGCATGTGACCTGTGCAATTGCACAGCCCCCCCCCCAACACACACAAAGAAGGTCTCCATGCTTTAATGCTTTGCTTTCACCCTCTTGAAATTCTTAATAATTTTTGAACAAGTGGCCCTGCATTTTTCTTTTTCCCTGGACCCTACAAATTATGTAGCCAGTCTTGCCCTAGGGAGATATGCTGCAGAGCAGGGAAGAGGCAAACACAGCCTTCCTGAGCCCACGAGGGAGAAAAGGCTGCTGGTCCATCCGCCTGCCATTCCATCCAGCACCAGACTGTTGCAGAGATGGGCAAGTCAGAATTTACTGTAGCTGGGCATGGATTTGAGGTGTCATCCGCCTGTCTCTTCCTCCACTGACACTGGAGCTCCAGGAGATGAGGGTTTGTCTGATTTACCTATGTTCCCTTGGGTCAAACTGAGTGCCCAGTGCCCAGTAGGCATTAAATACATTTGCTGAATGAGCAGCTGAATCCCAGGCAGCCAAAAGAAGCAAGTGGTTACAGCTCCGTCACCAGAGAATCCCAGGCAACTTTCTCTTCCAGGCTGAGATTAATTATACTTTACCATCTCTTTTATAAACCTCGTCCATAGGATAGCTTTGAGGACTTGCAGACACTACTCAAGTGTTATTATCATTTTGCGGTTCTCAAAGTATTTGCTATGCATTCATTTGCACCAAGCCCTAGATTTGGTAATGGGGGATTATACAGCAAGGACTCAGACACAGTCTTGGCCCTCACATATGTTTTTCATGAGAGGAGTGGGAACTTGTCTTGGGAATTACTAATACAAGGCAGAAAGTCCTGAAGGCCCAGAGTTCCCGGGAAGATGTTTACATGATGCTGAGCCTCTCCCAGCAAGAAGAGGGGCTTACAGGTGGCAGAGGTACAGAGGTGGGCAGCCCCAGCTGAGAGCCAGAAATGCACCACACATTTCTGTTGAAACCAGAAATGTGTGGTGCTTGACAGTGAACAAAGAAAAGTTTGCCAGAGGCATTCCTGTGAGGAGGAACTGTTGGATATGAAGCTGGAGTGGAAGACTGGACAGGCTAGTGACGAATCTTGAATGCTGAGCCAAGAGACCGCACTCCTGCAGGCAATGAGGGACATTGTGTGTCGGAACTGTGCTTCAAGAAGATCCCGCTGTTGGGGGCAGGCAGGAGAGTTTGCAGGAAGGAGAGCGGGAGCCTCTTTTCTCCCAGAAAAGGAATCGTGTGGATCTGAACAAGAGCAGAGCCACGGGGATGGCCAGAAAGGGAGCCACAGGAGGCAGCAACATCGGGGATGTGGAATTGACAGATGGAGTGGGGGAGGAGGCAAAGGAGGGAGGGTTGCTGGAGAAGGCTCACAGGGTCTTCCCAGGTGATCAGGGTGGCAGAACAGATATATGGAAGGCAGGACAGGGAGGAAGAGCTCTCAGTTACAGCCATGAGAATAGTTCCTTGCATTTTGCATTTCACTTTCTAATGTTCCGTTAGGTAACTTCCCTCTCCCTAGCTGTTTGTATTTCAGATATGCTTCTCTTCAACTTGATATTCAAGCTGGATATAAACAAAAATGTTAATAGAGCAGCTGTACTTTCATAACTAAACCAAACTACCCATTGATCAGAATAGCAGAGAGCAGCCCCCTTGTCAGTTGTGAATGATCAAATTTAATAACCAACATCAAACCACCATGTGCCCTGCTCTTTATGTGGTTTAGGGATAATACCAGAGCTGCTGGTGATAAAGTCTGTGTGTTCTTGCCCTACTTAGGCACAAACTATAGCTTGTGCACTACATGCTTTTCCTATTAGGCCAAGGGAAAAATACCAGCCCAGAGAAGCTTTGCAAGACCCTCAGCTTAAGTACCTGGGCTTGCAACAAGACTGAGGTGCTGGAGACACTGGGGGAGGCAAGCCGGAGAAAGAACTACCTGTGGGGCTAAGCCAGTTGCTGCAGTGAATGAAGGGGCAAGTAGGGGACAGTCAGGCTTCAGAGCAGAGAGATGGACAGTGGAAGCAGAGGCAGCATGGGGTAGTGATTGCCTCTTTGCTCCACTGCACACAGGGCAGGGTTTGAATTTCAGATTCTCCATAAGTTACTAGCTAAATAACTAAGAACAAGTTACTTAAAGCCCCCTGAGCCCCACGTTACTCATGTATAAAATGGAAATTATAACACTTTCCACCTCCCATGGCATTTGAGACAATTTGATTGCACAGAACATGTAAAGCATTTAGCATCATGTCTGGTACATAGTTAGTATTCAACAAAACTTACCCACCATTCTCACTACTACTGTTATTAGCTAATAACTGATTCCAAAAGTGCAAACACACCTGGTATCCCTGAAGTCCTGAATAGCATCAAGAAGTGTCTGGCGAAGTAAAAAGACCCCAGCCCCAGACATACACTGCAGATCAAAGGGCTCATGTCCCAATGAGGTTGAAATGCTGTGGACAAAACAGGATTCTAGATCTCTGGAAATTGGACCACTAAGTGAGCACCCCAGGCTTCTGGCACCTAGTCCTCAAGGGAGAAGAGAAGCATGACTAGGGGTAGAGATTGAGGATCCCTGGCATGTGGGTGGTATTGAAAGCCACAAAACTGAATACAGTCACCAGGGAAAGAGAAGACAGCTTAAGCTTGAGTCCTGAAGCAGGTGTCACAGAAGCCAACAGAAGACAGAGCATTTCTAGTAGGTTGGTGGTTCCAGCCATGTGCCAGTAAGACAAAAACTGAATGGTGCCCAGTGGCTTAATCAACAGGGAGCTCATTGGTGAGCATGGGGCAGGAGCCAGTCCACGCAGAGTTAAGGAGTGCATGAGATGGGCCATAAGAGAAAGGAGAGTGTGACTGTAGACAGCTTGTTTGAGAAGTGGCTGGAAAGCAGGGAGAGTTGTCCTGTCTCCCACATCAAGCATGGGGAGAGAGGCTTCATTCAAGGGCCATGTCTGTTTCTTCTCTGCATCACCGGGGCCTTGGAAAGGAAGGGAAAGGAGGAGCTAACAACGGTGGCGAATGCTGTTGGTAAGCAGTTGAGAATAAGGAGGTTTGAAAGTGTGTGCTGTGAAGGGTGACTGTGTGAGAAGGATGTGAAGTCAGAAAGTGTAGACAGCTCCTTGGGAAACTTTACCTGAAGGCGGGTGGAGTGCAACAGCTAGAAGGAAGCAATATACTACATTATAAGGTAGTAAATGGTTTGGAGAAAACTAAGCAGACTAGAATAAGTAGGACTGGGAGTGCTGCGGGAGTGAGTTATAACTTCAAATAGGATGCTCAGGGAGAGCATCACTGAGAATTGATGTCTGGGGGAAGAGTGTTCTAGTAAGAAGGAAAAAAAAATGAGAATTACTAAAGTCACAGCGTGCCTGCCGTGTTCCAGGCACATCAGGAAAGGCGGTGCAGCTGGAGCAGAGTGGAGAAGGAGAAAGTAGTAAGAGATGAGGTCAGAGGGATAACAGGGT